ATTGTTTGTGATAGTCAAAATAGCTGGGCTTCTTTCCATGTTTTAATCTAAATGACTTTGACCTCTCCAAACATATTGGACATCCTAAGATCCCAGCTGTACTTCATCCAGATAACATTCCGTAAACTGGAAAGTCATTTATCGTCCAAAAAAGGGCAGCCTTCGTTACAAATGTTTGATCGGTAGAAACGTCATACGTAGGGACACCTTCAACCCATAGCCGTTGTAACTCCTCAATCAATGGTTGCATATAAACATCTATCAACTTTTTCGGATTTTGCGGCCCTGTCACGATCAATGTCAAAAACATATAAGCTGTCTTCATGCACATACCAGGTGGAAGATTGTACGGCGTTAAGATAACTGGCCAACATGAATAACTTTTTCCTGTTTTCCCAAATGGAGCAAATCCATCGGCACAGAGACCTAACCTGATGTTCCGAGGCTCCATCGCAAACTCAGGGTATGTTCTATCAAAATGTTGCCATTCCTCCGCATCTGAAGGATGACACATTAGACTCTCTTCTATTTCATGATTTGCATGCCAAGTCATGTGTTCAGCAGTGGCTTTAGACGCATAAAGCCTTTGCAATCTGGGGATTAAGGACAGATAAAACATTTGCTTGCATGGTCTACACTTCTGATTACGACCCGGCCTCCTGTTAATCTTGTACCTAGGTTGGCTAGAGAATTTGCAAGATTCTGCATTTTCATCATCTCTCCAATATATCATACAACCCCTACTACATACATCAATCCTTACAACCGGAAGACCTAAGTTATCCACTAGCTTTTTCATATCATAAAAATCACTTGGCATGATGTTATCACGAGGCAATGATTCCCGCATTACTTCAACAAAAGAGTTGAAGCAATCCGCAGACACATTATGCTCTGCCTTGATATTTAATAGTCGGGCTGTCACCGATAACTTAGTGTGGTCCTCACAACCTGCCCATAAAGGTTCATCTGCTGCTTTCAACACATCCCAGAACTGATTAGATTGAAAAGTTTCATTATAGACATTCTCATCAAAACCCGTTACTCCTATATCTTCCAATTGTAAAGCATGACTAGTACCCACTTGTTCATGTGTAGGAGTAAAACTAGTACTTGCATGATTTGATTCTGTGACAAAATTATAACTAGCTGCATCAATCACCATCCTCTCGTATGGGTTCAATTGCTCATAATAGCCACATTCTTCCCTAACTGAAAATTGGTCACTTCTTCCATATCCTTCATCAGATATAAATGGTTCACCATGAGAAGTCCAATTATAATAGTTCGGACTAAACCCAAATCTAGTAAGGTGTTCTCTAACTTGATCACACACAAGAAATTTACCATTACCACACTTTTTTACACGGATACCTTAACTTATTTCCATCCAAGAACTCATATTTACTACTAGCAAAGTCTAAAAATAGTTCCAACCCAGTACGAAACTCATCTGTCAATCCTTGACGTCCAGGTAAGTTCTTATTATCCATCCAAGCCCTTTCTCTTTGCATTGTGTATGTATTAAAATAAAAAATTCTGGTAAAATATTTAAAATATCATATCTATTGTTCTTAATTAAAACCATAAAATTTTGGAAATTATAATTTTTGTTATTCACGCAACAATTAATATGAAATTGCAAAAATAGAAAAAATTACCATGTAAAGAAGACTTACCCAAATATTTGACTGAAATATTGGTAGGAGAAAGTGGTCAATTTGATGAGAATTGCAACGTCCACTTGGATTGCGAGACCTTCAATTAGACACATACCCAAAAAGAATAATCACTTAAGAATCATTTTTTAATAATTTTTAATGTGCGATGGAAACGGAATTCATCCCTCGCAAATTTGCGACGCATCCTTGATTCCGTCGCAAAATTGCGACGGATCCTTCATTCCGTCGCAAATTTGCGACGGAAAGTTAATTCTGACGCAAATTTGCGACGGAATTTTCATTTATTCGTCGCAAATTTGCGACGGAAACTATTTCCGTCGCAAAACGGCGTGGCCGTTCGGCCTCATCCAAAGGCCGGCGAGGTGTCGCCGGTCGCCGGTCGTTAAACCGGTGATGCAGATACGAAAAAAAAAACAAACATAAACATATATAAAATAAAAGAAATTACAATTCAACGATGAATGGTCACGAAGCTAGCTATGATACTTACCGGTACAAAAGCTTCACCGAGATTAATATGTGCGTGCGCGGATTTTGCTGATTTCAGACATATGAATGAGGGAGAAAAGCGAGAGAGAGCGAGAGAGAGAGATAGGGTTGGAATATCACGGGCTGATAAACTACAAATTTGCGACGGACGTTCGTTTTCGTCGCAAATTTGCGACGGATTTGGCGACGGTTTTTTTTTTCCGTAGGAAATTTGCGACGAACTTTTTGCGACGGATTTATTTTCCGTTGCAAATTTGCGACGAACTTCTTTCCGTCGCACATTTGCGACGGATTTTGCGACGGTTTTTTTTTCCGTCGGAAATTTGAGACGAACTTTTTTCCGTCGCAAATTTGCGACGGAATTAGCGACGGTTTTTTATTTCCGTCGCAAATTTACGACGGAATTTGCGACGGATAAAAATTCCGTCGCAAATTTGCGACGGAAAATATAATCCGTCGCAAATTACGTGTTTTTTTGTAGTGAAATATCACATAAACATGCCCAAATTTCAACTAAATCAATTCAGCCCAGCCTTTCACAAACAATTCCGAATTTCCTTTATTTAATCTATAAATCGACACGTACATTTTTCAATCAACACATCAATGATCACAGCTCATAAACACACATATAAAAACCACAATCGCGAGTACTTTCAGTCACAAGGACCCTCACGATTCAGCCACGACCTCACACAACAATCCAACACATATACACCACAAATCAAGCCATAAACACATTATTCCAAACCACAAATTCCCGCATGTATACTTCTCGTAGGCAACCCTTACTTACTCTCTAAATAACCCTCAAACCATCATAATTCCAGCCATAATTTCACCCAAGGTGAACTCAATAAATTCGTCCATGAAACAAACCCCAAAATTTGCCGAACACTAGTCCGTTAATACCGAAATTGTTATTTTTCTTCCACCAAACGACGCCAAATCGATTCCGATCCTTCACGGGACTTTCTCACCATAAATTCTCGGTTCTAAAAATCCAACTTGCGTCCCGATCGACCCATCACGGCCCCATGAACAGTAGACCACAGCCACTGTTATTTTTGAATTTCCAATAAATATTGCCCGAATTAAATCCTAAGGCCCGCCATAAAATTTCCACTCCCTATTCATGCAATTCCGCACCTAACTTTTACCAGATTTTGCCCAAAAATCGCCAGTCGATACCCGACGTCCTAAGTTGGGTTTAGAGCGCGACTTACCCGCGTTCTAGGCTATCGCGGCTAGAACGGAAAGCGGCGGCACTTAATCGGGAACGGCGGCGACGACGTACGGCTCCCGGGTGGCAGCGATCGACTTGGGTGGCGACGGCGCGGCTTGGGCGGTGGCCGGTGAGGCTCACGGCCAAAGGGGGACCGAGAGAGAGAAAGAAAGAACGGCGGCTTGGGGGGGGGGGGTGAGGCTCGGCGGTGGCGCGGCGGCGATCCGGCAGGCGTGACCGGCGGCGGTGATGGCGCGGCGACGACGGCAAAAGGGAGAGAGAGAGAGAGAGAGAGAGAGAGTACACGGTGGAGGGGGCTTCACGGCAAGGGGGGATTTCACGGGGAGAGGGGAGAAAAGAAGAGAGAGAGGAGAGAGAGAAAGGGGGTCAAGGGCTTATCATCTAATTTTGACCACATTTTTGGCAATTTACCAAAATGCCATTTACCCTTAAAGCTTGTCCTTTAATAAATCCTAGGGGTATTTTGGTCACTTTCTCCGTTTCTTGTCCAAATCGAATTTTTCCGAAGGAATTGAGCGCACCAAAAATTCATACATGTCACGTGCAACGTCGTCCTAACATTCCGGCGTGACTTCCTAATTTTCCGGTGTCCAATTTGGGCTGAATTAAATAATTCAATTTTATTAAACGTAACTCGAGCGTTTCTCAAACTAACGGGTGGCTTGTTGGGGAAATTCGCTTATTCGACCCGTGACTGACACTAAATCGAGTCACGTGCAATTTATTCAGACCGTCACGACTTCGGTTGTCAATAAAATCACGAGGATCAATTACTAGATCCGCGGGGCACGATCGTTTGGTATAGGTTCAGGATCGTTCGTCAATTCATTTCGTGGTCCAGCGGTATCACCCGCGATCCACTACTGTGACAGTGGCGAACTGACCCCTGACTATCCTTAGATCGGCTAACAGTGGCTCAAAATATCACCTCGGCGATTTAATGGTCGAAAGTCAATCCACGATCGAATTTTCTTTAGTCGTACGAATTTAACTCCCCGATTAGCCTTTCCCTAATGGTTAGCATCCCAGGAATGATCAGTTCCGGGCGAGAACTAACTACGAGCACATTCATAAAACTCAGTATTTTATAAATCCCAAATGGACTATTTTTCAGGATGTCACAATTCACGCAAAATGGAATCCCAAATTTTAGATAGACCCAACTGCCCATGATGTCTCTGCAGCATCTTCACGTAATAGTTAAACAGACATTCAAGCTGATAACTGTTACTTCTTCTCTTTGGACAGAAGGAAAACGAATATCCTATTAACATATAAACTAAAATGAAAAACTAAACCACCATAAAAAGTTAAATCCAAGGATGGAACATGATAAACACATTTGTGTCATGCCTAATTTCGAGCCAAAACACGGTAGATATTTGTGCCTCCATCCTCTATCACAGTTGTTTGCAGTAGGATAACTAAGTCAAACACCATTTACACCAAAAAATGATGATTTCAATGCTTTTAATGCAGATAGATATAAACATAATGATGCCCGCACCCTAAGCCCATATCACATAATTCTAGCTTTATCTTAACCAAAGGCTTTTAAAAGCTGGCTGATGCAATACAGAGAGTCAACTGCTTCTGTCCATTGTTCAATAACATCAATGAGTGTAAACACGCAAACGCTTAAATGCCATTCTCCACAATGGAACAGAACTTACTCGTGAAATTCGATCGTTACCATGAATGTCCTTCATGTACAATTACGCAGATGCTCATGATCACGAGAAATAATAAGCTCAGCAGCATCGATTATTTGGAGAAAGCTCTACTAAATAAATGACACCGAGCTTTTGGGTTACTGAAAAACCACTTTTCAATACGGATAGTTTGTTAGATCATGTGGACTCTCTCTCTCTCTCTCTCTCTCTCTCTCTCTCTCTCTCTCTCTCTCTCTCTCTCTCTCTATGTAACTTTTGTATACGGGGGCACCCCCTTGTGTACCTTTCGTGTATAAATTTTCCTTTTAATCTCTCCCCCGCCCTCCCCCTACAAAAAAAAAAAAAAAAGTTACCTGGAAGCACCATTGAAAGAGCTAGATCTAAAACCTCTATACCTGTTGCCCATCCACTAGTCAACTCCTCAAACAAAGCAGCTGAAGATGCAAGAGCAACAGACTGATCGTTCACGGAACCACACGACCCTGCTGAATGTATTGTTCTCAATCTCTCTCTAAACCCCTGGCGCGCTCTAAGCAGTTGCATCTGTGATGGTTGGCATTTGAATGAGCTGTACGCTACACCACTCGCTAGGCAACACAAAATATGCATTGCGCGAAATGACTCTTGATCATTGATATGATTGCCGCAAAGCTCTACTTCAGCATACCAGAAATATAACAGTGGAGCATCATACTGTCGTTCCTGATCAAAAGCAGGTGAAAATTCAGTGGCAAATAATAATTCATGTACTATTTTCTTCGGATAAATAATTCACGCACAAAGAGAGCGAAAATTCTTTCATAAAGTTTCTAGCAATTCCAAAAATAGAAATAGAGACATGCTTCTACCAGAAAGTGGAGCTATAGATTACCCACCAAAAAAAAGGTAAAGAAAAGAGGCAAAATCACAAGACTCGTTTGGCAGACAGGATGGCCAAATCAGCCCTGGACAATGCACTTCAGAATATTAATAAAATTCCAGCGCTTTTCACTGGCATAACCGAGGTGCAAAACAAGTTATGCTCTCAATTTTAAGCAGACACAATGTTCAGAAGATGTAAGGACCTCGGCCCCACCATGCTTCCGCTGCGTCACTCCTTGTGTAATATTGTCCGCTTTGCACACTAAGTCCTCACGAGCAATGCAATCCCCTCGCCATCGGCGAATTCTGCCGGGAGCCGCTCCTTGTCCGAGCCCTCTCTGGCTCCGGCGATCACTCCCTGCTCTGGTCGGACTGGGTCGTCCGCTCCTTGTCCGAGCCCTCTCTGGCTCCGGCGATCACTCCCTGCTCTCGTCGAACTGGGTCGTTACATTCTCCCCTCCTTCGAGCACAGCGTCCTCGCTGTGGCCCCACACGCGGTCGGGAGTCGGCTCTGATACCATTTGTAAGGACCTCGGCCCCACCACGCTTCCGCTGCGCCACTCCTTGTGTAATATTGTCCGCTTTGGACACTAAGTCCTCACGGTTTTAAAACGCGTTACACAAGGGTTAGGGGCCAAACCTTATAAACTCACCAAGATCTCACTCCCTAAGCAATGTGGGACAAGAGCAATGCAATCCCCTCGCCATCCGCGAATTCTGCCGGGAGCCGCTCCTTGTCCGAGCCCTCTCTGGCTCCAGCGATCACTCCCTGCCCTCGTCGGACCGGGTCGTTACAGAAGACCAATAGCACGACTTTCTGATGTAAAAGCATGAGTCAAGCTGCTTTGTTCGGGATCTATATCTGATACTAAAGGAAACTTCAGAAACCACTGGAAGGATGTGGAAGGAGACCGAAACCTTACCGGAAGAAGCGCTTTGGTAGATAACAATGCCATGTCGAACACTTTTCTTGCGAGATCAATATTCCCAGAAACAGCTTCTCTCCGTGCATAAACTCCGCAGAGTAATATATCCTACAACACCAACAAAGCAAAAACCAGTAACACTCGAATACAGTCTTTGGTCAAACCATGAAAATATAAATAGACATACTGTAGACGAGTGGCCCCATAAGAACAGCATGCGCACGGATATCAGGTTCACATCCCTTAGCTTGAGCCATTAGACATCTAAAGCCAATCCTGATTCACGTATTGATTTTCATATTCCAAAACCTTCCACTTTTCTGAAAAGCAAGTACTTGGAAAAGATATTTATGCATAATTTCTTATTACAATGAAAAGCCTGTATACGGGGATTTCAGAAGTCCTAAGACTACCAATCTTGCACCATCAAGTTCTCCTTTAGATTTATTTTTCTTCTCAACAAGTCAAAGATTTCCTAACATTCTATATAAAGCAAGACTGCTGATCTCTGCATAAAAATCGCTTTTTTCCATCCCCATCCAAGGTTTGAGGTCAAAATCCTTAATCCCCTTCCAAACAAGGGAGATGCCACAGATGCACATGATCCTCATAGATTGCTTAGCAAGAAACATGTAATGAGCCTATTCTCTCTTCTCTATTCACTTCAAAATATCGATTATTGATTAGTGCATTATCAAAAGCGTCTAAATGTACACCGGAATTAATACCTGAAGATCCCATTTTAAGAGGCTCTTTGCAAGTACTCGACATGGTGTTCCGGGATAGCTAAGAGAACTCATTTTCGTAACGGAAAGCTCTTCAGCAATGAGTGCTGCTTCTTCCAAGACATAGTGTGACATTCCGAATTTTGGTCCATAGTTGGGATTTATAAAACGTGTAATTCGTCAGTGTGCTTATAGGAAAATCTCGCCCGGGAACTGATCACTCTCGGTTATTATTTTTAAATTAGAGATTTCGCTAGAATCGCACTCGATCGAATTTGGCCGTTATTTAGAGTCCAAACTTTGGTGTCGAATTTCTCGGAGTTCCAGGACGAATTTAATTGGACGGTGTCAATATTATTGTGGCCAGCGTCGCTATTGCCAGGAATATGTGAAAAGTGAATTTTTGACCGGGTGCCGATTTGGACTAGTAAACCTTTCTCGTAGTGTGTTTTGGGTTATTTTCTTTTGGCCTTTTTTTCTATATTATTAATTAAGATTTTCGTGGGCCGTTAGATCGTTTTCGAGCTCGAACGTGGACCGTTGGATCGCGATCATTAGGTTTGACTTTGTGGCTCTCTCTCTCTCTCTCTCTCTCTCTCTCTCTCTCTCTCTCTCTCCGGTCACCTGCCCTGCGCACGTCTATCCCTTCCCCTGTCAGACCCATCTACTCCTCTCTCTTTCCTTCTTTCTCTTTTTCTTCTTCGTTCTTTCTTCTTCTTCTTCCTCCTCCTTCGCCGCTCGATCGTTTCTGCTTCTGCTCGCACCAGCCGACGCCGACCGAGCTCGCCTCCACCCCCGTCGCCGTCGCCGCCGTCGCCCAACCGAGCTGTGCCGCCGCTCGTCGCCCGCGACCGCCGCTCGTCGGCCCTGTCCGCCTGTCGCCGGCCCTGTCCTCGCTGCACGCGAGCAGCAGCTTGCCGTTGCGTCCGCCGCGGTCCGGTGTTGCCCAGCAATCCACCGGCCTGTCCTCCGTCGCCCGGCCGCCCGTGACGCCGCCGTGCCGCCTCCGGCCGCCGCGCGACCCGCTCTCCCCCTGTTTTTTTCTCTTCCCCGGCGCCTTCCCCTGTTTCGACCCCTGGCTTATCCGCCGTCGCGAGCCGCCGTTCCGGCCGCTGCCGCTCCGCCTCCACTACCCAGTCTCTCCCCTCAGCCACCTCCGCTGATCTGCCGCTTTCCCCCCGGCCGCCACCACCTCCCCTTTCCCCTGTTTTTCATCCTCCCCGACGCCTCCCCTGTTTTGGGCTCTCCCCGACGCCGCCTCGACCAACCACCGCGCGCCGCCGTTCCGGTCGCCGCCGCTGCTCCGTCCGTCACCACCCGGCCCCCGGCGACCTTGCCCAGCCACTTGCAGCAGCTGTGCTTGCCAAGACCAGTCCAACCGCCGTCGTTGTCGTCGTCGCCCGAGCGTCCCGAGCCGTGGCCGAGCTCGCCTAGCCGCTGCCCAGCCAGCCCGAGCGTGCCCAGGCAGTGGCCGAACTGCCCTGGGCCGTGGCCGAGCTCCGATCGTCACTGTTCATCCGCCCGTACTGTTCATCCGCCTGTTACTGTTCATCCGGCGTACTGATCATCCGGCCCGTTTACTGTTCATCCGCCTGTTTTGAGCCCGTGCGGGTTTTTCCCGAGCCATATTGAAGTAAGTGACTTTCTAAACCCTATTTAGTACTTTGAGTATTTTATGACTTGTCTCGGGTTTAGAACGGTTAAAGCGTGATTTAATTTAATTATATTATGATATAATTGTGCTAATTGGATTGGATAAAATAATGTGTATGAATCGGGTGATCGTACGTGGCCGACTTGAACGTCGGGTTTGTGGATTGACGTGGCGAATTGTGAATTGGATTGAGTTGTGAATATGGATGGTTTAATGCAATTGGCGTGAAATTGATTGAATTGAATGGCGTGTGCATGCCTGTCGATTATAAGCCCGGATTGATCGGAGGGCTACGGACTTGGGACATGTTGACGGCGGTCCGTGTGAAGGCATGAATGGCCGGTGTGCCAAATGGATGCGGGCTTGAGACGTGTTGACGGTGGCCCGTTAGAGGTGTGTTGGACCGGGACGTATTTACGTCGGCCATTGGAAATTGAGCCCGGATTGATCGGAGGGCTACGGACTTGGGACGTGTTGACGGCGGTCCGTGTGAAAGCATGAATGGCCGGTGTGCCAAGTGGGCCTGAGGCGCAGTGGGCGCAGCAAGGAGAATGGACCCGAGCGCAGGGCGCGGGTCGTGAGAAAGATGTTCGGCCACGCATGCGAATTGAGTGTGAATGAATTGGCTGGTTGAATTAGTTGGATTGATTGAGTGCAAGTGTGGTTGGTGTTTGAGCGATTGTGATGTGTTATTTAATTACTATTATTGTATTATCACGTTGTGATTAACGTGTAGAGTTGGCATGGGCTTGATGACGAGGTAAGTATAATGATGCGAATTTTATATGTTATGGGGTAGATTGCATGTACGACTTGTCTGGGTACGCATTGGCCTACGTGGGGTATAGGGGGTTGCTTATTGAGACTCGTTCTCACGCTTATTATATAACCATTTCAGATCCGCGACCGTGATCGATTCGGAGATGCCGCCAGAGCACCACAGGGATTGAAAGATAGATCATTTACCCTGTCTTTTGAGTACCTTTTGTAGAGGAGATAAGTTTGTCAACCACCGCCCCCTTTTGAAAATTGTGGTTTTAAATTTGGTAGACTGGGTTATCGTTTTGTAATAGTGACTGCTTTATGATGTTAAGCAATTACTGTTGCGTGCTATCTCTTTGTTATTATTTATTGTCTGGGTTAATTAATTTCGCTTCCGCTTGCCTTTATTGTTGGGTGTTTCGTTTGGGTCGGCGACGCGTCCTGGGACGTCGCGTTCAATACGACCGTGGAAGGGGTGTCGCGAGCCCGTTGAGGTTCGGAGCGTGACACATAGTTTCTCGAAAAAGCAGTGAGACAAAGTAGGATAGCATTCCGCAGAAAAGTCATCATGGGGCCCTTTCCAGAAATGTCATTGTTGCAGCTTAGAAGGTTCCATACTGCAACTGTTTGAAGTACTGTCCACTTTCTTTAATGTATTGTGGACTCTTCTAAACCAATGTAATAAAGCACCAGGCAATTCTTCAAGGCTCAGGATTTTCTCCAACCAGCTTGAGTTGTTTGTGCAAATCCTAAGACAGAGCCAGTATTATTATGAAGTGACAACATAATGAATGCATGCAAAGGTGCTATCACTCATCCAAATGTATGGCAAAGACAAAAGATGATCGACACAGTATCGCTACACCACTCAAAATTAAGCAAAGAACTTGAATTTGATTCTAAAAAGCTAGAGATCAGCACATGTTTGAGATGCCGCATACCCCAAATTCCTAATGAAGTAGAAAAGGTAATCAAGTTTCAACAGAAAAGCCCATGATTCTACATGATAAGCAACCGGTTGGTATGAATTTATGTATTAGAAGGAGGTTTCCACTGATAAAAAAGCCAGTTCGACTAAAGAATCATCTTCCATTTCAATTGAATATGAATCCAAATAAAGATAAATCAAGCCATGTCATAAACACAAAAGCTAGCATCCTCAGAAAACTAGACTTCAGCTATGTTCTAATCAAATACAGTCAAATTAATTTCTCTAACTATGATCCCTACTTTTCTTATTTGTGAACAGAGTTGCATCCGTTACTAAAATCAGTTAGCATCAGGAGCACCTTGCTGCCTAAACATACCGATGTCTCTGTTTCGATATCTAATATAGCCAAATCAGTTACACATCAAACAACTACCAAGAATTTCAACGGATGCCCTGAAGATCATCCGAACTTCCTGCACAAGGATTGACAGACTACTGCCCAATCTTTAATCACATGGGAGCTCCTACAAGTTCTTAAGCATCCTCTGAATGAGAAGTACTGAATTGGTTGAAAAATGCCAAGGGATGCACTAAAGTGGACATGACATTTCCAAATATGACCCAAATGACCAACCCCAAGCAATGATCTCGTTCAACGCATATTAATAATGACTAAAGTTGGCAGTAAATTATGTATCACTTGATATCATTGCCATTAGGAGATATGAAATATGATGCAATTTAATGCAAAGAAGAGGACAAAATTGTCATGCATTGCTAATCTAGTGCAACCTACCTCTGAGATATATTTCCACCAAAAAATTCAACGAACTGTGTCACTAAGAACAATCGGCTCTCTTCTGAGCACAGCGAGAACAAGTATTCACAAACATCCTCATACAGAATGACCCCAAAAAGATCTTCATCCTCCTCTTCTTTGTCACTATCCTCATTAGTACTAGACTTCCCTGCTGTTTCAGAGTAAAAACTCCTTTTAGTATCAAATGGGAAAAAAAAACCAAAGCATGAAAGCTTATTCCTGCTGGACCGGAACCTAGCATCTAAACTGAAAAAAAAAAATTCAAAGAGAGCATTCATTAAGAAATAAGAGAATTATAAGCAAATCATGTCGCGGAGTACCGTCGGCTTGTCGCATCTCTGTCCCCATCAGTGTCCTTTGATCAGGCAATGAGAATTGGCCGATTCTTCACGCTTGGTCACCGCTCGCACGCGCACATCTTCGCGCCGCCAATGCCCTCGTACGTCCGCCGGCCTTGCCCTTTTGCCACCTTCATTCTCTTTCTTTCTTTCTTTCTTTTTTGGCCTTATTAGAGAATGTTTAGATTTAGAAAAATTTATATTTAGACCACAATGAAGACGTTTTAGCCCTATCAATCATGTTTTAACCAAGTCGGTGCCACGTTAGAGAGAAAAAATGGCATAAAGAAAAAAGCCATGTTGGCATTTTCCGTTAGCCAAATTTGATGGAGTTAACAGAAGGACTCAAGGGTACTAATTAGACAAGTTTTCGGACTTGATTGTGCTATTTATAAGTTTTAAGACTCGATTGCATTTTACTTTTAGGACTCAATTGTACATTCGTGATAAGTTTAAGCGTAATTATCATTTTCTCTCTCTTTTTTTTTTTTTTGCTTGATGAGATTGGAGTGCGGCTCTTTACAAAGGACTTTATCTATCCTATAACTCATCGTACTGGTTTTGCTATCGGACAGATTTGAGAGCTTTGGATACTACCTAAGTACATAATTAATCCTCCAGCGACTTAAT